GGGGGGCGGCGGCACCGCCTGGCGGGTGTTCCTTGTGTGGGCAGGGGGGAGGAGGATTCGTGGGACGGGGCTTCGTCTGGGCACAGCGAGCGGGCAGAATGCGGGATATGGGGGGTGGCGGTGCTTAGGTCTGAAGACGAGTGTAGTTTTGCAGATCAGAAATGAAGACTTCCTTGTATCTCCATGCAGAAGTCGTAAAGCCTGAATAGATCAGGGGGAGACAGTCTTTTTGCCCTGATGTCTATACCAAAGCCCTTGTGGAGGAATGAAGTAGTAAAGTTTTGTTCTTTAAAACACTTTTGATGACAGCTTCCATCCTCTGTAATTCTGTAGAGCTGGTGACCTAAACTGGGCGACTGTGAATGCATGCTTCTCATGTTTGGTTCATTGCTTGGCCTGACAGTTTTATTGCTAATTAAATTAGCAAGGCCTGAATGATTAAGGAAGTGATGATGTTCTAGGACAAGTGAAACCAGCAGTGTTGTTGAGAAAATTATCTTCTTAAATTGTACCTTAAAAGTTACATGACAATTACTAGAAAATTGCCTTAGACAGTGGCACGCTTAGCATCTTGGTCCAGAGATGGCAGAAGTTTATTAAGGTTTTTGAAAAGCAAATGTATTTGAGTGAAAGACACTGCTGAGTCCTCAGAATGTCTTGTTGATGTCAGCCTAAGTCTGTGGGCTTTTTTCCTCTCATAGCTTTTGTTTGTTTCTTATCAGTCCTTGGTACTGCTTATTTATTAAAAATAAAAGTGTCAGCATGGAACTTGATGGAGAATTATGCATACCACTCAAGAAATGTAGTTCAGATATTCCTAGGTAGGTTTTCTTGTTGTGGAAGAATTTCAAACAAGTAAGAGAGTTTGTGTGGAGTCTTAAGTCATATTTTTGACAGTTATTTCTCAAATGAAAGCTACAGTTTTAGCTTTTAAAAACTAGAACCACGCTATTAAAAATCTTTTTCAGTCAGTTTGATCATTCTAGTGACAGAGCTATTTTTTTTTATCTTTTCTCCACTGATACGCCTGAAATGACAGATTCTAATCGTCTAACACATCAAAAGAACTGTTAATTAAAGTAAAAAAAAATGTTAGTTTAAAATTGAGAAGGGTGTGCCTATTTGGGTGCTACTGACCCTTAATTTGTTTCTTTGCAGTTTTTTCTGTATACAGTCAGAAGGAAATGCAACATAACCTTTAGATCCTGTATTATGTTTGCAAGATAGGCTTCTAAAAAATAAACATTGCAGTAAGATACTAAGTTAAGCAGTAATTGCTGCAAGTTTTCTTACTGGATTTGTCCTTAATTTGCATACGTTTAATGTCTCCTGTATGAGAGGAGGAAGCAAATTCCTCTACTTGCTGACAGATTTAAGATTTAGCAATGTAATGGTTTTACTTTTTGTTACTCAAGTTTCTTCTAAGATCTGTAATTCTTTTCACAGTGGCTTATGCTTTTTAATGAAGTATCTGATCCCTGAGATGATCTGTAGCTTATTCTGCGGTTTAAAAATGCTTGTCCAGGCAAAGATTCTTCTCTGATTTCTACCTTAAGAGATTTTTGTTGATGAACTTGGGTATGCAAGCAGCTACAGGAATATATAGTTGCTGCTTTAGATACTTCTGTAGTACAATAGATGGCAGGTTTGCCTTGCAAGATGTGGCTTTTTGGAGTAATTTTTCTTTTTTTAATAGACAATATGGCAAGCCCAGGTAAAGATAACTTCAGAATGAAAAGCTACAAGAATAATGCACTTAATCCCCAAGAAATGCGCAGACGAAGAGAGGAGGAAGGAATTCAGCTTCGGAAACAGAAAAGGGAAGAACAGGTAAGTAAGTATCTTGGTGAGCTGTTGACTGTGAAGTGCTTGTGAAGATAAATTCTCATATGTGAAGGGATTTAAGCGGACTCCTGTGGAGCAGAATCCAGAGCACCAGATTGAATGTCTGTTTTCTGTGCAATCTTGGGGAGCACCAAGCACCTCTAGGTAGCATTATGAAGCAAAAAAGTGAACAGAAGCTCTCTTAAGTCACTATGGTACACAAGGAGAGACCCGTGTCTTAAGTTTAATCCTTAGACTAGGTTTAAACATGTAAGACTAGGCTGAAAGGATACTCTTTTATTTCTGATAAGGATTAGAAACCATGCATTCTCTTTCAGAATTTGGACCAAAGTTGAACTACTAGAAGGGAGAGGATTATTTTTGTCTTTGAAGACATACTTCAAATTGCCCAAGAGCTCTTCTATAATAGTGATCCCTGAACTATTACACGTAACATTTGCATTGGTCTGTATTGATTTTTTGGTGATCAGAGTACATGGAGCATTGTATAATATAGTGATTTGTGGTAGTTCCTTTTCCCAAAAAGTTCAGTAGTTTCTTGCCAGGAAAGTAAGGAATGTAGTTTGTTTTTCTGCTTGGTCTAAAGTGGCTAAATTTGTCTCCCACAACCTAGAGAGTGTCCCAGGCACTGATCTACAGTCTTCTCTGAGGTTGGAAATGCTTACCCTTCTCCTGGGAAAGTGGTGCTACTGCAAGGAAAAAGAATTTAAATTAGTTGAGCCAGAGAGGTAAGAGTAAGAAGTAGTGTGGTACTGGAGCATTTACCTGTGAATGGGTGAGTGCATTGCAGTTCCTGCT